GAGGGACAACTTGGTAAATTGGTAAAACATGGTTCACCAAGAGAATGTTCTACATCCTCGATTGTTGAGTAGAAAAGAAACCTCACAGTTCTAAAAAGGGTGGGATATTTTGGACCAAGAGCGACCAGAGAAAACTCTGAGATTATTACTCTCGGCTAACCTTTGAACAGGGACTTGCAGTTATTCCACAGCACACCTTTCACTCAAACAACAGACTGGTTTATAGAACAAACAGTAGAAGCCATGGGCTTCCTTAAACAGCTAACATGAGATCCAAGAGTCCACACTGACCCCAAAGCAAGGATGCAGAGAAGTTAAGAAGGCAAGGCAAGCTAAATTAATGAAAATACAATAACAGAACTGAACTAAGAATGCTGACATCTTGTAGAAATTGGAATCTAAAGTATGGGGCTTTTGTAGAAAAAGTGTGAAAGAGGAACCTAATTTGCTGTGCAAACTTTCACCTAAAACGCAATAAAATCATAAGAAACAGGTAGGTGGGAAGTAGATACAGCAGAGGAGAGAAGAGGTGCTGACTGAACCTGATACGTGCCAACACTGCAGTCAGAAAGGTGAGGAGTCCCTGACAGAAAGAACAAATGGGAGAAGCCCGTCAGACAGAAATCAAAGAATAGTTCCTGAAGACCAAACAAAGTATTCAAGAAGGAGTGTGTCAAAACAAGGTGAACAGGTTAAGATAGACAACTGGCAATTAACCTTTGCATTTGGCAATATGTCTAGTCTTTGGTCAGCTTACCAAGAGCGGTTTGAATGAAACCATGATTGATGGTGAAATCTGAATTGAGTGTGTGAGAGAGAAAGAGAGTCGATACACAGCATGGGTTAATTCTTTTGGAACAGAGAAATGGGCTGACTTCCAGAGTAGTTGTTAGGTCAACAAAGAGTGTTACTTTGCTCTTTTAAATGATATTTCAGTTATATGTTAGTGTGCTGATAAGACCAATTCCGTAAAGCAGAGTAGGGTAGACTGCAGCAAAGAGGTCTATGACTGGGCAAGAGAGGTCTCAACCCAATACCCAAGTGAGGGTCTGGACATCGGATAGCAGTAGGAGGATAAGATATCCTGCACAAGGCAGGTCGATTGAGTCTTAGGGGAAGAGATTAGCAGATGCTCTTTCCTCAGAAGAAGACAAAGGTGGATCAGCTGGAAGGAAAGAATTGGAGGTTCGAGGAGAAAGAGAAACGTGTAATAGGCTTGATCTACACTGCAGGAGAGTGACTTGCCCTGGGGAATGGGACAGAACAGGAGAGCGGAATGGTCTATGAGACAAGACGTCCAGGGTTTAAAGGGAGGCCTGGCAACATGCCTCCATGCTTTCTCCGCCACGTTCAGGTGGTAGCACAGCGCAGAATGGGCAGAGCTGGTTTCAACATTCATTATAATCTGCACAGGTACAGATAAGAGCTGGAAACACAGGGAATCCAGGGCAGACAAACCCCTCAGGACCAATATTGAGAGTAGTGATACCAGCAGGGTAAGGGGAAGGCTGAGGGAGGAAGGGGGAACCGATCACCATGATCTATATATAACCCCCTCCCAGGGGGATAGACAACAGAAAAGTGGGTGAAAGGAGACATTGGTCCGTGTAAGGCATGAAATAATAATAATAATTTATAAATCATCAAGGGGGGTGGGGAAGGGAGGGGGAAAATGAGCTGATACCAAGAGTTCAAGTAGAAAGGAAATGTTTTGAGAATGATGATGGCAACAAATGTACAAATGTGCTTGACACAATGGATGTTATGTATGGATTGTGATAAGTTCTACGAGGCCCTAATAAAATGATTTAATAAAAATAATAATTATAATATAATATGGCAAATGTATAAAATACCACTGTTCATTTTATGACACAAATACATAACACTTATTTTAAGAATACATTTGCTACCATTTATTGAGCTTATGATTCTAGGTTGTATCATCATTTCCTTTGTAACTTTCCTATCTTTCCTGATGAAGAAATTCCAAGTAATGAAGGCAGGCATATGGAGACAAAACAGAAGGTGAATTATGTTGAAGGCTGAGAAATAAGGACATTCTGTTCACATATAAGAAATTTCAGTTTTCTTCTTTTCTAAATTCTTCAAACATAACCTGATACTTCCTTAAGGAGATCTCATTTTGTAATCCTGAACTTCCAGAGAATCATCGAAGTAATAAAGTTTACTTGTGTTATTTCCAAGTCATTTCCTTGCTTGCTCAATTTAACCAGAACTTCCATTGAGGATCAATAATGCGCTAATGGTGTTTGCTGATTTCAGAGAGAACAGAAGATATGTACCAGAAAAATAAAGTTGATATGGGAGGTTATATCTTACAGGAAACATTCTATATTACGCACCTCACCAAGATGCGAGTCTCCCAAAGGTCCTTTTGTTTCTGGATTAGCAATTATGATCCGAACGCCTGGAAGGATCTATTTGAGAAAGGAGAAACCTCTAGTCAGTGGGCAGAAAGACAGATAGTTCACAAATTCATCTCTATGGTTGAGGTAGTCAGTTTATTGTGCCAACCTGGCCGATAAGCACGTGGGGTTAATTGAAGAGCGGAGGGATAAATGGCTCAGTGAGCCTCCCCTTTCTAGTTCTCGGGTCTCTGTTTTCTGATGGTCGGCCTTAGCCAGTTCCCTGCATTAGCTGGCAAGGCTCACTTCCTGCAAGATGTCCTTGAGGAGAAGCCACAGGGACCTACCCCGATGCAGCCCTGGGTAATGGAGCACCCGTGTGGAGACCCCTGTCAGTGCTGAGATGCTTACACATTCACTGACTCAGCTTTCCACCTGCAGTAGGCAGCATTGCGTCTGTTTTGTGAGATGGAGGAGGACTTTGTGGATTGGTATAGGACATATGGGCTAATGTGGACTTGTGGGCTTGGGCTGCACTGGGTTGGGATGTTTTCTTGATGTGCACTTAACCTCTATGTAAAAACTCTTTCTTATACATGAGTTTCTGTGGATTTGTTTCTGTAAAGTGCCCAGACTAACACAATGGTATTTGTCTGATTTCCTTCAGAAAGTAGCATAGCCTTTGTACATCAGCTGAGTGCTCAAAGGAAGCACTCAGAAACTAAATATCACATTATATAATTACAGCCAATTACATTACATAATGACAGCCCAAGGCTTACCTTTTCATTGTCATGACTACAATGAGATATCATTTGTGAAACTGACCTTAGGATTGCGAACAAACTTGTGATAAATCATATATATATATAACTTCTAGCCTGATGCTTGCACAAATGAATTTTGAGTCACTTCAATCAACTTATTCCTCTTCAGAGGAACACTGGGTCTCACATCATGCCCGTGTACGTGGGTGACAGGCAAGCCGCTGCAGTCAGAGACTAAGGAAGTCAGGCGGTAAGTCCTCGGGGATGAGTCTGCAGTTGAGAATATGCTAGCAGGGCAGAGAGCTGCTTTTATGGGAGCCAGGATGGAAGGTATGGTGTCCACTGCTAATCTGCTATGGTGTTTTATTTGTAATTAGAATGTTTGCACCAATTCCCATCTCTATTCCATTTATTTTCAATGGAATCTATTAGGGAACTTTTTCCTGTAAGTATACGTCTTTGATTATAATGGATGCTAATGTTAAGCATTTCTTTCTTCACCCAAGTTTAGTTTAGAAAATGTTCTAAATCCCACGGACAGCCCATATATAAGGAAATGAAAGCTCATTCTAGAAATCTGAACACAGCCTGGCTCAGTTCAAGCAGTTTAATGTCATGTGGTTAAAACAAGGTAACACATTTGAAATATGGTTTTAAAAAAAGTTATCCTGTCCCCTAAGTCTGAAGTGAGAATTTGTGGCTGACTAACATTATATCAAAATTTGTTGAGAATATTATTTACTATTGTTAAACCAAATTGTAAGAAGATTTCTAAATTTGTGGCCATGCAGTTACAGGTAACAGAGTAAAACTGCCCTTAGGGTTTTTTTAGGCTATAACCTTTATGGGAGTGCATGGTTAAGGCTCTCTCCCTTAGAGCAGCTGCTGGGTTTGAACTGCCAACCTCTCGGTTAGCAGCTGAGTGTTGAATCATCACATCACCAGAGCTTTGTTTGTGGCACAGCGTTGAGCTGCTAACCTCAAGGTCAATGGTGGCCAGTTTGCAGGAGAAAGAGAGGCTCTCTGTTTCAGTAAAGATTCATAGGCCCAGCAAGCCTATGGAGCAGTTCCACTCTGTCCTAGAGGGTCACCGTGGGTCAGAATTGGTTTTGGTTTAGACATAGATAATACAAGTTCCTGAAGCAATAGGAAACTCTTGTAGAGGTGTGTCAAGTGGTGGGTGGTCTGACTCCATGAGGAAGCAAATGAAATCAGTGAGACCCAAAAATTTTATTTTAAATCTTCATTTCCATTTAAATAGGCTTCATATGCTATAGTTCTACGGTAATATTGTCAGGTCAACATTGTAGTGCTAATGCTAAGGTCAGAGGTGCAAAACCATGGGGAGGTCTTCAGAGGAAAGGCCAGGCTACTTGCTCCTTAAAAGATCTACAGGCCTGGACACCCCACATAGGCTCCTGGTGAGCCCGAATCAATGCAGTGGCAGCAGATGGATGTCAGAAGCTATTAGTTGACCTTGGCTACCCATTTTTTGTCTGCCACATAGCAAAGGATAGACTTATTTCTAGCTGTTTTTATTGCTGTGTGGTTGAACTGATTCTGACTCATGGGGACTCCATGAAAGACCTGGTAGAATTGTTCCATAGCATTTCCAGAGCTGTACCTCTTTATGGGCACTGATCACCAGGACTCTTTCCCCACAAAACAGCTGGTGGAAGGTGTGAACTGCCAACCTCCTGGTTAGTATCTGAAAGTTTTAACCTGTGCGCCACCAGGCGCCTTGCTTTTTCTTTGTTTTTAAGCTAGGCGTATAGATACTCAGAATCAACAGAGTATTTCTGAAATTAACTTTCAGTTAGTGTGACCATTTGATTCAATCTGGCCAGAGGTGTGGTGTGTGTGTGTGTGTGTGTGTGTGTGTGTGTGTGTCAGAGAACACAGCAGCTTGTGGGCTCCTCCCAAAGGCTCGCATTTCTAGTTACTTTCCCTCTTCTTTCTGTTTCTTGGTAGCTGGCGTGGAACATCCATCTTAGGCCATGCCTTGACCTTGGGAAGTAACCATTTTAGCTGAGGATGCCTCCTTCTAGACTTTTCCATAAGAGAGTGAAAAAAAAAATTCTAACTTGTTTAAAGCACTATTATTTGGCGTTTCTGTGTTCATGAGCAACATAGTCCTGATACATCACTTTCGAGAAAAAATCTTGGAAAAATGTCTACAGAATACATTTCTTAAAATGTCAATGCATAGCTCCTCAAATTCTCTTATATAGAGTCACAAATTTCTTCCTTTAATACTTACTTTTCCTGATTCCATTAGGGGCAAACTATGAGGGGATCCTCTCTCTACTAGGCGGACTCTGTAAAAATAGAAACAGAAGATATTATAAGGTTAAGTGTCCTGTGTCCACGATTCTCTTCCACGGGTGTCCACACTTGGTCCTGTGTCGGGTAGATTGTTAGGGAGTGTTGCTTTTGCTGGCAAGTGCTGCCTTGTGGAAAAGATAATTTTGAAGCCAAAGACAATGCCATCAGATATCAGAGTGCAACTCTGCACCGGCAGGGCAAAACAGCAAGAGGATGGACGACAGTAAAAGCCCCAGAAGAGAGAGCACGGGTTAGGAACGGCCATTTAAATCATGATCTTCCGAGGCTGATGGTTCCAGAGTCCAGGTGCACATTATTTTCCATTTGGAAGTGGGCTCTACATTCAGATACCAGGAAGGAGAGGTTAGGGTCATTGAGAGGTTTTAAACATAGCACCCTATCTATCCATAACTGGCGGTCCTCCGAAAGGGGAATGGTTGGTTCAGGGAGGAGTGGCAATGTGGGTGGCGACAGAATGAAATCTGAAAGTAAGATCTGAAGTCACCGAGTGAAGAAATCAGTGAAGGCACTCAGAAAGCAAGTCTGCATTAAGTAACCAAGATGCAACCCCCATGTGCAGGAAGACAAGAAGAAGTAAATTACATCCTAGGAGGAGCTGCCACTCATGCGCTGATGGCAGTATTTGTCCTGAACACACACCTCTGTGCACAGGTGAGACATACAGGAACTATGTGTGGGAAGGCTGTGTCACAGTGAACAGCAGCACGGAATCCAGCTATTGAACTGCGTGTATTTGTGATGGACGACGGCAGAGCTGAATGAACACAAGACTGGCCAATTCAGATGGCAAACCTCCTTTAAGAAAAGATTTACGGGGACGGACGGGAGGGGAAAAAGGAAAATGAGGAGCTGATTCCAGGAACCCAAGCGGAAACCGAGTTTTGAGAATGATGAGGGCAACGAATGTCTGAGTGTGCTTTACACAATTGATGTACATGTGGATTGTGATAAGAGTTGTATGAGCCCCAATAAAATGATTTATAAAAAAAAGATTTTAAAAATAATAAACTTAGAAACATTTTAGGGTGATTTTAATCACTGCTAAAAACAAGCTTGCTAATCACAACTACAGCCAGCTAACAGTCACCTTCATTGCATTATTGTACGTACTTTATGCTCTCCATTTCCAATTGTCCATGGGAGAAAGACGAGGCTTTCTACTCCCATAAACAGTTCCAGTCTCGGAAACTCACAGGGTCAGTTCTACCCTGTACTGAGCCAGAATGGACTCCATGGTGGGGAGAGACATTACTAATTTTGTATTCCTAACAGAGCTACAGTACTGTATTACAGTGCCTTCTTCTAGGGTTAATTTTTACTTAAACGAAATAAAATGAAGGAGAAAACAAAATAAACCAATAGAACAGAGAAGAGAACGTGTCCTGCGCTCCCCTCCTGGGCCTGCCTTATGCACAGGGACAGAGGAAGGTTATTGACGGTTGATTTGGGGATGCGGGATAAGGTTTATAAAAGATCAATTTTTTCCTCTGCTGCCACCATCTACATCTTCCCCATGGAGATCTGAAATGACCACTAGTCACCCATTCTCATGCATTAAGCACAAGCTCTTCCTCTGTAACTAATATGCAGACGTGAGAACTCAGGAGGCAGGGAAGGGGGCGGCACCAAGGAAAGAAATCCTTGGCTTTTGCTTTGGCTCAGGACCAAGCCCCCTGCCTGCAGGGGTGAATTCCAGCAGGCCACCGTCTCTCCCCCTGGGATCCATGGTGCAGTGCAGATCTTCTGCAGCTTGGGAGCTTAGGCTATTGAACATGCTGAAGTAAGACTCTTAAGGAATGCTTGGCTGTCATTAATATGGATAATACTGCATGTGCCAAGCAGAAATGGTGCCAGTACATGAGGGGAGGGGCATCAGCAGGTGCAAGTTCCCAACTTGTTCACGGCTACCACTGTTGGGTCCCTGGGTGGTACACATGGTTATTTGAGTTGTTGCTGGCTGAAATATTGGAAGTTCAAGTCCATGCAGAGGGTGTCTTGAAAGAAAGGCCTGCAATCGACATACCAAACATCAGCCACTGAAAACCAAGGAGCACAGCTCTGCTCTAATATACGTGTGGGGTCGCTGTGCGGTGAGGTCAACATGACGGTACCTTGTTAACGAGTCACCATTGCTGGGTCAGGCCCTGGTGGTGTAGTGGTTACACACTGGGCAGGGATCTGTAAAGTCAGAAGTTTAAACCACCAGCTTACATTCTCCTCAGGAGAAAGATGGGCCCCAGGGTCGCTCTGAGTCAGCATCAACTCAACGGCTGTGAGTTTGGTTTGGGTTTGGTCAAGGGCCATCCTCCTGGTCCTGCCCATGACAGTGAGCATTCAGTAATGGGCAATCGTTTAACTGCCGGTCAACAGGATGAGCTGCTTCTCATCTAGCCTGTGGTGTACCTTCTGACATGACTTCAGGAAAAAGTGGCCTGTGAAGGAGTGAATCACCAGAGGTGAGGGTGGCGGAGGATGGGCGTTTCCTCCTCAGCGAGGGACTGTGCAGGAGACGCTACAGAGGAAAGATACCTGAAGAGCCCAGCAGTTGACATTCCGGTGGCTTTTGTGTTAAAGCAAACATGGATGCGGAACGCTACACAGAAGGCAATCAAAGAAAACCAGCCGAGACTAAAACAATTTAAGCTCTTCTAGAATATTTCAGTAGGTGGAATGACATTAACCTTCAAACATAAATTACTGGCTACATCATTGTAGAACTACAAGAAACAAGAACTCTTAAGACCCAGGTAACACTAAGCTCATCTAGATGGATAATTATTAAAACTATGGGTGGGCTTCCCATAAAACATCCACTGACAACTCTGTCCACCAGCACAGCTCCATGCACATGCCACTCAACATAAAAACATGCCACTAGAAGACTACTTACAATCATGAAAGAAAACATAAAAGGGCGATTTTTGGTGTACATGTCCCATGCAACAGTATAGATGCCGTTTTAGGTCTACGTGATACAGAAAACATCAGTGCCAGTGACATTGGCTGCCCTGCTTACTGTGGGCACAGTGTTTAATACCAGAGGGACTTGGGCAATTAAGAATGAACAAGCCCGCATTCAAACATGTGGATCCCAGCGACTGGCGATGAGCTCCAGATGGCAAAGCAATATGGGAACGAAGCCAAATACGCTGGAAAAAATTGTGTGTAGGGGTAAGAAAAAGCAGATCTGTGGACCGTGTGGAAAGAGACAGAATGAAGGAGATGGGGAGTTAGGGAGATCAGTGCCCACCCCCCACCCCAGCCCCCAGCGAGCAGGCGCTGAGCCCTCTGCCCAGGGCACTGGGGTTGCTGTTGTCTGAGAGGCAGGCAGCTGGCCAGTAACTGGACTGTGAGTCCTATAGAGGGCAGACAATCCAGTCACGGAGGGAGAGAAATGCTTAGCCAAAAATATGGGCTGTTTCAGACGAGCAGTCTGGGAAGGGTGAGAGGTCAGCCAAGTTTCCATTTCTGCTTCCACTCTCCCTGCCATTCACTCTTGTAATCACCTCCACTTTAGGACGTTAGAAATGCCTGCCAGGCAAGCCGTCTGACATGCCAGGCAGCTCGGACAGCTTTACTATTACTGAGATGTCTTGAGATAGGTGCACTGGGATAATATATAAAACAAGCCTACTGGAGAGAAAGGCATAATGAGCAAGTATCACTGGATGATGGCTCCCTGAGTTGTACACAAAGTTAAGCACTGGACTACTAACCAAAAGGTTGGTAGTTCAAACCCACCTAGAGACACTTTAGAAGATAGGGTTGGTGAGCTGCTCCCGAAAGATCAGAGGCTCCGCAAACCCTATGGAGTGTGGTTCTACTCTGCACATGAGTCAAGACTGATGCCCAGGACAGCTCAGCGCCACATCTTCCCTTGGGTTTTTCCTACGTTAGCCAGTGCTCAGCCAATCTGGAGAGGAGAAAGGGCAAGGCTCTATGGAACGTGAGGCTGAATCTCCTCCTGAAATGCCCACACTTTGGCCAGTGCTTTGCTGATGAGCAATTCTTTCTTTTCCCTTCTTCCTTCCTTCAGACTTTATCTTGTCTCAGCTCAGAGAAGGGAAGCGAGAGGGAATCTCCATTGAGAATCTAAGTGTCTATGAGTTGTGGAAGGAAAGTAATCGTGTTAAGAATTTCTTCTCTGTGCTGTTTTTTGAGTGCTTCATGCCCAGATAGGTGCGGGGATGCTAAAATCACTAAGGGTGGTCCCCAAATGAAAATACTACATATATTGCTATTATATGTCACACAAAAAGGTCCTTGGTCTACATTAAAAAACCCAAACCCAAACCAATAATGTCCACATGGTAAAAAGAAAGAAAATAAGCCTTATAAAAAGTACACACATATGCCAACCTAGGAAAGAGATTTGCAGTTGGTCAAAGGAGTAAAATCTTAAGACAAAATAATTCAGAGAAATATGAGAGGGCGTCAGAAATTTCATGGAAAAATTGGATCATCTTTTCATTCCACTTTCCCATGAACTTTTTAAAACCCCATTGTAGATGAAACACAGGCGATTAGAAGGACATTTCATGCTATCATCAACTATACACAGAGGGTCGCATAGTCCTGTGACAGACTGGCAGGCTCTGCAGTAAGAGTCCGGTTCCAAACTCCACAGTGGGAATCAGAGGAAGAAGTGGGAGGTGTCAGTTCCTTGTCATCCAAGCCAACTGCTTCCTTTGCCACGAGACCAGAGCTGGATGAGTCCTGGCTCCCACTACTGGATGCTTTGACCACAGATGCGAGAGAAGACTCCTAATCAGAGAAAGGGCTATATGGAACAGCACTGTACACTGTCATGGAATCCAGACTTTCTGGAATCATTGAGGCTGGAGGAACTCCTGAAACTACTGCTTTGAGATCATCTTTAAGCTTTAGAACTTAAACTAAAACTAGCCCCAACAGTCTTCTGGTACCTTAATCAGTGAAACATATCAGCCTTGAGCATGGAGAATTAGCTCTG